AATATGCGAAAAGTCGATTTTCATGGATTTTTTCGAAACTTTGGACAATTACTGATCGTCACCGGTTAGAGCAGGAATTGTGGGGAGCAGGCAGAAATTAGAGGGCCTCTAGATCTTTCATTATCAGCCCTTAGATCATGAAAATGTTTAAAATTTAGTTTGGAATTAATTTTTGGAGCAAAACCTTAAAATATGCGAAAAATCGATTTTTCCGAAACTTCGGGCAATTACTGCTCGTCACCGGTTGCAGCAGAAATTCTGCGGAGCGAGCAGTAATCAGCAGAAATTGCGTAGAATACGAAACCGTTCTCGGATTTAAATTTTGGAACCGGGGGGGGGGCTGGCGTCACGGAGCTAATTTTATGCATCATTTTAGACTGCCTTGTCTCATGGTTATGTATATTACTTTTAAATTCAATGTTGATATCACATTTTAGTTTTTTGTTGATAATTTTATAAAAATTGGTACTTAATTCCAATTCAATGATTTTTTCAAAATGTAAAATATTAGGGTATCGAAAATTGCTTACAAAATTCAAAGTCTACGAATTATATCGATTTTTAATTTTAACAATGTTCATATTTATCCTAGGGGCATCTCGTTCGGAATATTTCAAATTTTCCAAAATATCTGATATATCTCCACGAATCTGTCGTACTTCGGATATTTGTGAATGTAAATGACAGTTCACCAGAGACATTTTGCATCGTTCATAATATCACAGTAACTTATGGTTTCGTTTTTATTTCTTATCAATATTTGTACACCATGCGTGGCAAGTGTTGTCATTTCAGTGTGCAGAATAATTTATTCTTTATCATTTAATTGCAATTTTGTGCGATACTAGGCCAATTATATTCCCTGAATTGACGAAAACGAACATTTTATTTTACTGGTTTTCCCTCTCCGTTGGACGTAATAGAGACTTGCTCTAGACCCCTCCTCTTATTCTGAAAAAAATACCGAGCCCCCCCCTCCCCATCGAATCACCCTGAATTCATTTCTTTAATTACGTCGTCCGCATTCTTGCGATACTCATCGATTATTGACGATATTCTCTTCATTTGGAAATTTTCGGGGAATTCAGTCAAAAATCGGGGAATTGGACAATATTTCTTTTTTAAACCACCATTTTCGTAGTTATTAATAAAAATCATCTGTGAAAAACGATTTTTCAAAATACTTAACAAAAAAAACTGAAATATTCTTAACAACAATTCTATTTGTGCCATAATTTTTTTCGGGGAATTGTGAAATCTGGCCGGAAAGTGTGTCAATTTTCGGGGGAACCTTATGACAGTATATACTTATTCAAATTTCTGTGTTCGCATAGTGCTAATATCGTGATATAATTACATGCATAGCGCTGCACATGTTTGGAATCTACGGTGTAAGTACACACAGTCGTATTAGGCGATACTTAAACTACATCCCGCCGTATAGGCAGAAAGGAACGAACGCGTTGTTAGTATACTGCTGTTTACCACCTCGAATGCAAGACGGACAGACACCGCTATGCTTGCGATAATATCGCAGTATCTTATGCGGTACTGAAAATATGCGTTTGCGAAACATTTTTTCCGAATTGACAAAAATCGATAGAACAATGCATTAAAATTAATCTTAATAATTAAATAAAACAGGTACAAAACAGAACATTTTTTCTACCTGTCATATTTATGAACAACGAAATAATTTAAATATTCATAGACCAAATCGAAATAAAATATTAATGGAATACACATAAAATTGGCTAACTGCCCATCCTTTCTTCATGTATCGATAATGGACATTTCATAAATAATACAATATTCGACATATTCGCGAGAGTTTTTTTTATCGCATGTCAACCATATTGCTTCTATACTTTTGAGTAATAGTCTGAAAACAGTCATTCATTTTCCCTTGCATTCGGCGCATTTTCCATGCGTTTGTGTGTATGTATATGTAGGGAAAACAATCAAGCGACAGAATCGGATAAGAAGTAGGCGAATGTGTGCGTTCGGTTTCATTTCGAAGAAATATCAATGAAAAGAAAAACCATACATTCGTATTGTGTCTATTAGTGCAAAAATAATTACACATAATTCGCTTGAGAAATTGTATATTTTAAAGTGGTTCGTGTCAAGTAATTCGAATTGTCAACAATGAATAACTAATTTCGGGTTGTTTGTAAAATAATTGGTGGTAAAATTCTGCCATAAAGCAGAAAAAAATCAATCAACATCGGTTGGTCGACAATGAATTGTGTAAATTGAAAAAAAAACAAACAAACAAACATGGGGTAGACATGAATGGATGTGAAGAAGAAGCGGTACAAAAAAAAGTGAATTATTGATTTTTCCACATGTGCATGTGAACGAGGCTTTTCTTTTCTTCGGAATCTATTTTGTTTATTGATTTTTTTTTTCTGTTGTTGGATGCCATAAACATAAGCACAATGAATGTATATTTTTTTCGGATTGAGATACAATGTGCCCAGTTTTTGGGGAGGAAACAAATTCAGGAGTTTCCTCGAATTATCCCATCGACGTAGAATATTCCAAGATCGTTTGAAAAAAAAAACACTATTTGTTAAATACATTCGATATTTATATTAACACATAATTGGGGATCTAGAGATGACAACACTATTGCCCAATTCCCAAGCATGTTCTCAAGTTGAAGTCTATGAGGATATGTTTAAAGAAATCACAAGAAAATTATACGGTGAAGTTTCTGAATCAAGTCAAAGTTTACAAACACCAGCAACTCATATTGCACCAATCGGCCCAGATGTGGAGCGTTCATTTATAAATTTGGTAATTTTGAGTGCATGGGTTTTTTTCTGGTTTATTATTGTTGGTTAATGTTGTGTTTGCGGTTTTCTTTCCATTAGTTATCGGATAGAAATGGGACATTGAATGATTTTGAGCACGGTGGTGTTGTGGCCGAAAATGTTAGTTCGCTTAAGAACGATGATCATTTGACTGCCTTTGGATTGGCATTGATGCACAATGGATTTCCAACGCCAAACTCGATACTAAATAGCCAAACATTTCAACAAATTAACAAACAAAATCAAACAAACTTTGTGTCATCAAGCAGTTTGGGTTCATCTACCCATGGACCGAATGATGCTTCTGGTGAAATGATTACACTAAAGGAAACGACACAACACACAAACGAACTGAATGTATGGAATTCGAAAGCCGAAAACTACCAACACTCACAAAAACAATTCAAGTAAATGATTTTATTACATATTTTACCAATGAAATAGTAGCCGATACCCAAATTGAGTTACATTTTCAGGAACAAAAAAGTAGAAATAAGTGAAAATTCAATGATGTTACATTCACCAAACAATCTTTTACCAAATGAGTCCTTAAAATCGACGAATAGCATGAACGGTTGTACGAGTGGAGTGCCAATTCAACAGACAAATGCTAGCAATGGTCAAACACTGCAAAAACGTTACAATTGTTCGAATTGTCCTTATTCAACGGATCGCCGAGACTTGTTTACTCGCCATGAGAACATACACAAAGAGGACAAACCATTCCATTGCTACGTATGTTTAAAACAATTCAATCGTGCTGACCATGTCAAAAAGCACTTCTTGCGAATGCACCGAGGACTCAACTATGACAATGGTCGTACAAAACGATCGCTGCCCCAAGTAAATAAACCAAAAAATACTGTTTTTTACGCATGTTTTACTATATAATCGAGGTATTTCTTTTCCAGCAAAAAACCAAGAAAAATAATTCTTCCGGATACTATAATCAGACGAACAATGCACACAGCGGTGTCAACATGTCAGCCAACTTTCACACATCGCTGCCAAACCAGCAACTAGAGCAGCAGCAATCGCAGTCATCAATTATTGATCGAACAAGCCAACATTTGGGCAATCCATTTCATTCGCATGCTGCGACCGCGTCAAATCATCCAAATGCATCGCAGCCATTGAGTGTGAAAGTGGAAAAAATCGTTGAAAAAACAACAAAAAAAGGCGACAAGCGATCCTTCATGTGTTGCTACTGTTCATGGTCGGGTTCAGATAACTGGGGTCTAAAACGACACTTGAATACCCACACGAAGCCGTTTGTGTGCGTCTTATGCGACTATAAAGCTGCCCGCTCCGAGAGGCTAGCCACACACGTATTTAAAGTGCACAACAAAAAGGTCTGCACAAAATGTAACTATTTGGCAGAAAATCAAAGTGAATATGATGCTCACATCAATGATGCACAGTAAGTGGCCTATGTTTGAATAATTTTCATACTTGATATATTTTGTACTGACCTCGATACTTACTTTGGTAGTGCAAATGAAACACGATCACGAAGTACTCCAGCCACAAATTCATCAGACATGAGAACAGCGGCAAATAACATCTCACGAAATATAAACAATAGCTTTAGTACAAGCAATTCATTCAATGTTATGCAGGGCTCGACATCCGCGCAGTAAGATTGTTTTAAGTTTTCATTTTCTTTCTGTAAATTGTTTTGCCTGTTCAAAACCTGCTTGTCAGGAGTTCGAATGTGGAAAGTAATACGCTGGATTTTTTTTGTAGCAATTGGCGAACGATGGTAGGCGATGCCAGTGTCAGTTCACCGAGCACAATGAAATCTAATGTGAACAGCAATGTCAATCAGAAAAAGGGTGCTGAGCGGCTTTTTCAATACTTCGAGGCTGACGACAGTGATCCAGAGGATTATGCACGGTAGGCCCATCCTCAATATTCCACCCATGGAATATTGTAATTCTTTTCTTTGCTTTGCTTATCATTTTAATTTAATTCCATCACACTTATTTCAAATCGAAAATATTTCTCATCATATCCTAGACAACTACAAATGGCAGCCATTAGCAGGAACACACAGTGCGTGGCGCAGGATTTTCATAATGCGGGAGGTGGAAAAACTAAGGGAATACAATATGCTGAAAACTCAATGGAAAAATTGCATTGTTATGGAATGAATGGACAGAAATTTATCAGAATTTTTTTACATTCAATCGATTTCAACATAAATTCTAACACAAAGAATACAAAAAACACGGTGCCCGATCAAAGATTGACAATGGGACCGAGTATTTCACCTCCCGCAAACCAGAAACAAATGTCGGATCAATCATTGGAAAGATCAATTTCATTTGATCACGAACATAACAAAGAAAATAATCTAGTTTTATACGAAATTTGTGGTAAGAATAGTTTTGATTCAATGTCAGCATCTTATTGCAATTGACACAGTTATTCCTGTGAAATTTTTTTTTCAAATTATCGGTTTATAATGTAATGTGTTTTGACGAACAAAAAAAAGATGAATTGTTGAAATTGTGATAAGAATCCAATATAAACATTGAATACATTTTACATACAGTGCTCTTGATCCTAAACCTTGAGCTACTTCAATTATCATACTACACTGGAAAAAAATGTCAACTATTGGAAATATTACACGTAATTGATATAATTCATTGAAAATCTATGGAATTTCTCTATTGTGCAAACATTGATCCAATAAAAATCCGAACTATTTTTGCAGTATGTACAATTGACACATTTTTTGTGGATAAATTAAACAAGGCAAACGGACACGACATTTTGACATAAAACATTTATTTAAGGTCACTTGCATTTTCGATGGGAAAAAATTACATATATTTGTTAGTACCATGTGAATTTTAAATATTTCAAGTGATGAACAAATATTTTCTTCCAAGCTCGGTACATTTTTTTTTTAAATTCTGATCGTAAATGGACGTTTTATTGATTCGAACAATGTACTCATATGCCAAAAAAAAAATTGATTTGTATACCATTTTGTTTCTTGAGCATAAATGTTCAGTTTTGAGATATTTTGTTTTTGGCCAAGTTCTTAAAGTAATTGTGTGAAGTTTGAAAATTCAAATAAAATTGCACGCAAAAAGCTAGACTAATTTTGAATTTCTGTTATTAAAAGAAGTCAGAATATTTCGAACATCAAAAATATATTTATATTTGCCAACATTCTTTTTTCGTATTTTTTTTCTCTTTTGTAGTTTCGATATTCAAAAATCCGGACTAAGTCTACTTAGTCAAATACGATAAGTGCACTTTTAGTATACAAAAAAATATAACATTCTTGTCATCAAAATGTTTCCTTATATTAATGTAAGACGCGACTTCGGTCTAAATTTATCTTTGAAAAGGCAACGAAGCTCACTTTTAATCTTCATTTTTTACATACACTCTCGATCGCGAAAATATTTGTATGGTCTGATCCAATTTTCTCAGCTCTTTTTCAATTTCAATTTGACGGTTTCTCACTCGCAGCGTTTTCGATGTCAGTGGCATGTGGTTTAATTCATCGATGAGATCCTGATATTCTGCAATATCCAAGTAAAAATGATTAACTTTGATGCCCCATTCAATTATTGAAGATCCATTTGACTGAAGTTTCCTTCCATTTTAACCATCGTAATAAAGTGAAATTCAGGTATATTGATAATGATCATAGTTCATTGGCAGTAATCTGAATTTGGTCTGACTACGATGGTAAAAATAGTATATTCTATGGTCATAATGGGTGAACGCGTTAGCACTCTAAGTTGCCAGTTTTGATACATACTTTGTTTAGCAATATGCAACGATTCTAGACGTTCCGATTCAGTTAAAACGGTATGCCCTGGTGGGCAATTCACATCAACGAGAGCTATCAAGCGATTTCGTTCTTCTTCTCGCGATTTTATTTCTTTTAGGTATTTCGGAATTTCACCCTTTCGGTAAGCTAGAGATGTAACATTATAAATTCGTTAAACTTAAATTTCAAATTATATCGAAACTATTTGTGGATATTTACATGATGGTACGATTGGTTTGCTATTATCTTGTGCACACAATTGCAGACTATATTGACATCGTGTACTAAATTGATGAATAGGTCTATCGATTTCTGTGGTGTATGGCTCTTGTAGCGCATTCTTCGGTGCATTCGGTTGGTCATTTATGTGACATTCCTCTAAACCTGGAACACCGTCGATATTTTCCTAATTTTGACATTACAATTAAAATAATATTAAACCTGCAGCGTTGGACATGTTCAAACAAGTATTCACTCACCACTTCACTTTGGTACCCCTTATTATTTATTTCATTATAGTCAACTGGGCATTCAAACTCAGACACTCTTTCGATTATGTTGGGTTTGTTATTGCTAATCGAGGCCGACGGAAGTCTGATGATGACATCTTTGAGGAAAAGTTCATCATCAACCGATTCAGTTTGGCTATATGCATCACGACTTTGAACGCTTAATGGCCGTGTATTCTCACCAAATTTCGTAACTGAAAAAAAGTGTCAAAATATTCACAATTTCCGATAAGAACTGTTATAAGGTTTATGTGGCTTATATATTCAATTGTTTATCGCAATCAAGCGTGTTTTTCTATATATCATTTTTTTTCGAAAATCTATTTCTATATGATAAAAAGTGCATCTTTTTAGGTCAATTCTTACCGTTCTCTACACTCTTACCGGTCGCGATATTCTTGACCGAATTCGATGATGAACGAAGTCGACTGTGTGACGTTGATCGAGTTTTTCGCTGTTGAACTTTATTTCTTTCAAATTCATTAAAATCACTCGGTTGCTTTATGTTATGATTGTGTTGCTGCATAAATTTTATATTTTTTACATTTTTTACATTTTCTTTAATAAAATCACGTTTTGGTGGTGCTTCTGTGGAAAGAAAAGAACAATTTCAATGATGAATTAGAACGGCTGTATCTATTTCATTTCAACGGAATCCAATGAATCCAATGAATAGTTTATTATTATCGATTGATTTTCCGTGGTGTTTGATTGCCATATGAGTAGTATTATATTTGTAGATTTTAGGATATGTCAACAAACCATAAACATAGGTACATTGCTTTTCAAGAAGTTTTTCTTGTAAAACTTACTGGGTCTGGGAAATATTCCTCTTAATGATTGCATCTTCTTATTTTGATGATAATAAATTCACTATTTATTCTAAGTTTTAGGAATTATTAAAACGTAATTATTTCAAAATGTTTAAAATATTCGGGAAAAAATACTCCTATCAACCAACGAACTGGTTTAGGATGTCTTGATTAAAAGCAATAATAAATAATATGTATACAGAAATCAAATGTAAAATTAAAATACACAAATGTATATTTCTGTTATTTGAGCGAGAAAAAAAACATATAAACAACTAAATCACACACGCACTATAAATCCTGTTTATATGTCACTTCATCCTGAATTCATATTTTAAAAGGAATAACACAAAATGAGTGCGTTCAAAAATAATCAACAAAGTTTGATAAAATGTATTTTTCACCTTTGTATTTAGGTATATTTTATGCAATATTTCTCAACATCAAAGTATCCGGCTTTTGAAAAATAAATACTTTTTTTTCTCTCTAGCCTCTTATTCAATTTGAAATTTGTGATGTGATTTGATATGGTAGCGAACTATTTTCAAATATCTAATGATCTTTGCTAGAGTCATATAGATTAAGAAGCTAGATCTAGAAAGGGAGGCTAAATTTACCAAACTGATTTCAAAAGTAAGCAAAGTTCGGTAACTAAAATTCCTTCGACGGCTTTAAAATAATCAAAGTTGAAGTGTGTAAAAATTAAAATTTGCGTAGTAACGTTTCAAAGTGTTTTTTTTTTGGTACGCAGGATTCAAGTCCTACTTTTTCAGTATCTCAAAACCAAATCTAGAGAGGCAGTCCAATTGTTGCTTAACAATATAAAAAATAAAATCCGATTCTAACAGTTTTGGTTAGTCACAAGTTATGAATAGACTACATTATAATTATCTCTTGCACATTGAATTGAAGCTGACGAAATGTTTCATATAAATTTAATATTGCTTCCAATATTTTCGGATCATTACTTTTCAGTAAGAAAAATCTGCCGAAATTTTAAAAGGAAAAATAAAGAATTGAGTGGGTGGGATACGTTTAAAGCAATGGCGATTTCATTGTGACAAGTAAATAAAGTGAGTGCATTCAATGCCATCACATCAGACGTAATGTGAAAGCTGAACTTTTGTTCACGTTTCTCTTTCATTTGAATTCTCAATATGGTGAGTACATGAAACTTCGACTTTACCTTTAAAAAGTGCCTCAAAAATAGTAAATAAATGTTTTCGAGTCAAAACCAAATTATCCATTTTAATTTAAACGAAATGAAAAATGAAATGTGGCATTATTTTTAAGTATTTTCTCGAAACAAGTGTTTTTTTGAGCCCGAATACATACGGATGCAATAGTACACATGTTTTGATGGGGCTAGCGTATATTGATGAACTTTTCATTGTTTATAATGCATTTTGTTTGTGATTTTATTACAGTCGAACATTAAGAGAAAGAAGACCAGAAAGCTCCGTGGTCATGTCAGTCATGGACATGGTCGTATCGGTGAGTAAAATTGACTGATTTATTCGTTTTAAATTGTTCATGATTTTGAGGTTATGTTGTACTGATCCGCGAATGTTATTAACAATTACAGGCAAGCACCGTAAGCATCCGGGAGGTCGTGGTAATGCTGGTGGTATGCACCATCATCGTATCAACTTCGACAAATACCATCCAGGATACTTCGGTAAATTGGGTATGAGAAATTTCCACTTGAGACAAAACTCGAAATTCTGCCCAACCATTGGATTGGATAAGTTGTGGTCATTGGTTGGCGACAAAGCCCGTGAAGAATGCCGCAAAGACAAGGAAGGCAAAGTTCCAGTTGTTGACTTGGTCAAATTCGTAAGTTTCCCCCACTCACCATTTCGTATGATCGATTGGTTTTTATTTTCGTGATGAGATTAAACAGTTTAGCGACTGGCGGCCAGAAGGAACTGTACAACTCCATTATCATGTTGAACCCTTTATAACTGATATGCATTTTTTTCCAAACCAATGGAGAATAATTCAAATGCCGATCTCATTAATAACGTGTTTGCTTTTCTGTTTCCAATTTCAGGGCTACTACAAATTGTTGGGAAGTGGACACATCCCAAAACAACCAATCATCGTGAAGGCCAAATACTTCTCGAAGAAGGCTGAAGAACGCATCAAGGCCGCCGGTGGAGTTTGCTTGTTGAGAGCATAATTTGGGCATGCATAACATTCGTTATTTTGTTTAATAAAAAACAACGAAATTTCAACATCAAAATCATTGTTTGGTTTATTATTTACTATTCTATTGAACATAAGCGCGTATACAATAGTCCAGCTATTGTGATGGTGTGTCATCTCTTTATAATTTTTTATTCTCTTCCAACCAGCGATCTACATTGAAATCAGAAAAAAAGATGCCAATTTCTCGTTTAGCCGATTCCTCTGAATCCGAACCATGGCAAACATTCCGTGTATCAGACAGGCCAAACAGACTACGAATACTGTCTGGATGAGAATAGACTGCTTTATAAACTCTCGTTGGCCCAAGTAGTTTTCGCCATCTAGTTATAACATCGTCACCAGCAAGAATATACACATCGATTGGTCCACTGAATTTGTTTGAAAAGGACAATAATTCAATACATTATCGATTTTCTTCTTCATTACTTCTGTAATTTTGCTTCTGTTCATTGCATTTTACCTGCACATAAATGTTTGCAGCCGGTTGTAGAAAAATTTTCCTTGATGCTCTTCATAGAATTTTGCAGCCAACGATTTTGTCAATTTAGTTGTGGTACTTTGTACAATTTTAAAATTATTTTCTTTTATAAACTCTCGAATCGTTTTTCTGGCATAAGGATTTCTCGTTATGAATGGCTTCAAGATCGATAGGGTTAACTGTAAGTTGGTCATTTTGCAGTTTGAATTCTTAATTAAATTCCCCCTCAGAAAAACAATTTTTTATGCACAAATTTACTTCGCTACTGTGTACTGTGATTTTTTTTAAATTTTAAGGAGAAACCTATATGTACTGGATATTTTGCACTGTAAAAGAAGTGAATTTGACACTTGAATAATTCAAATGATGTGAAACATGAACGAAGGGTCTTATGAAATCTGTTTAATAATTTTCATGTTTGAACAATCTAGTATTTCATTTCATTTGAAATTTAAACGTGTGTCACTGCAAATTTTTTTAAACAAAAACTGCACATGTTCTTCGATTTGAAGCAATGTGCGAAACAAATATCAAATCAATTAATTGTATTGCATAAATTGCATGTGAACCAAAATCATTGTAAAATGCTCCTCAATGGATTTGGTTTCAGTATTCATATCCGTGCACACATTTCTTATTTCATTTTAGTGTGAAGTTAGTCGCATTTGACGACACTTGACGGACCGAACGCATTCTCTAGTGTCCTACTTCAGCAGCAATCGCTCACTTTCGGAACTGTCAACAAAATATTGTTCTTTTCTATTTCGTTTTTCAAAATGGTGGGTACCTCATTGTGTTCTTCAGCAAGAAAAAATTCAATTTTTCAAAAAAAAAATCGGAAAAGAAATCATTTAAAATCATATGAAATGAACGTTTTTAATACGTAAACTTGAAACAAATTGAAGTTATTTATAATTTCTTGTTAAAAAAACGGAAATGATTGAAATTGATTCAGCAAATTGGACACAATTTGTCAAAAGCGCACATGATAAACGTGGTCTTAGAAAACACACTACACTAAAAGATTAGAATTTGTTGTGTGAAATTTAATGAAATCATTGTACGCACAAATATTAATTGCAAATTGTGTGACTATTAACTGTTATAAGAATTGAAACAAACAAATTGATAGCAATAAGTGCGATTTTTTCTAATAGTTATGGAGCATTGATACATATAATACACATGCTTTGTTATTCGTTCACGTTCTAATAATCTATTTCCAATTCAATTCATTTCAGTCGAACATCAAAAGAAAGAAGACCAGAAAGCTTCGTGGTCATGTCAGTCATGGACATGGTCGTATCGGTGAGTAAAATTGACTGATTTATTCGTTTTAAATTGTTCATGATTTTAAGGTTATGTTGTACTGATCCGCGAATGTTATTAACAATTACAGGCAAGCACCGTAAGCATCCGGGAGGTCGTGGTAATGCTGGTGGTATGCACCATCATCGTATCAACTTCGACAAATACCATCCAGGATACTTCGGTAAATTGGGTATGAGAAATTTCCACTTGAGACAAAACTCGAAATTCTGCCCAACCATTGGATTGGATAAGTTGTGGTCATTGGTTGGCGACAAAGCCCGTGAAGAATGCCGCAAAGACAAGGAAGGCAAAGTTCCAGTTGTCGACTTGGTCAAATTCGTAAGTTTCCCCCACTCACCATTTCGTATGAT